AAAGGATTGAGGGTCCATGGCACCTTCCCTAGATCGTGCAGCCCTGGAGGAAAGTACACAGCACAATGAAGAAGGCATGGCCTTGTTTATAGCATTCAAATGAGCATTAGTAAGTAGTGAGAATCGGCCGACTAACCGACCAACAGAAATCAACTGCACGTGGTGCCATTGATATTTTTGAAAAATTCTCCGAAAAAGAAATGTAATGAAGTTGAAGTGAACGGAGCAAGCAAAAAAGGGGAAAGACATGATTGTCGCCTCAACTTCCCCAGTTTTCCCTCACCTCAACTCACGCCGACTTCCTGACATTTTCTTTCTTTACAAGTAAACATCCACAATGAATGGTTGTTATGAGACTCCGTAAAAGAAACAACTTGTGCTGGCTTGTGGAACGTGCGTGAGCGATGAGATTAAATGATTATGATTATTGATTAGATCCGAGCGCCAACCCCGGAAATGGAGTGAAACAGTAAAACGGGGCTGCTCCACTCCCAAGGTTCCATCCTACGAACCACCTGGGAATCTTAACATTTAGCAATATGCGGTCGGATATCCAAACTACCCACTCCCTTGGTAATGGATGATCATGGCTCATCAGTGGAGATTGAATCGGTTTTGACGCAAGATATAGCTTGTTGTACCCTATTCTTTTTCTCAATTCTGGGATGTCTTTCGTCGATCTGATTGATATCCGGCGCGGATGCAACATCCCCACCGCATGTGTCGAGGTTAGTAGTCGCGATGACTGTGATTGCGATGGGACATTCCAACTAAGGCAGATTCACCTCCCAGTTGACAAATGAGAGAGCAGACAATACGATAGAGCTTCCCGACAAGGCATTCACATTGACTGCCACCAATGACACACCCCCTCCCTTACCAAAGTTGGGGAAATCAGCCGAGGTCGGATCGTCGAGACCCAAGAACCACGATGAAACCGGCCGTCATGAGACAAGACTATTCGAACCTCCTTTCCCAAAATTGAAGTAGCAGCAGTGCAACCCAACCATCGGTCCGCTTTATAAAACCGTCTTAAAATCTATGGACGCCATCGTGTCTTGGGAACGAGGCTAGGATCATATTAAAGCCACGGCGCCCATCCGTTTAGTTGATTGCGGTGAAATTGATTTAATTTAGTTGCCCTTTTCCCCTCATTTAATGCTCCGCTCCTCGCCAGCTGGTCACGCAACCCACCAGCTAGTAATTAGCTGTTAAGTTGTTGCTGTTGTCGTCGTCGTCTTCTCATGGACTCCAGAGCACCCCAGGATTCGGCAGGTTTGCACCATGGCTCTGCCACGACTGCTCCAACTGAACTGCCTCCGTCGGGTCCGGTCTACAAGGTCTACAAGCGGCGGTTCTGGGGTCTGGCGCAGCTGGTGCTGTTGAACATTGTCGTTAGTTGGGATGTAGGTTCTTTATGTCTGTCGCCATGAAGAATAAAACACCGATTCTAATTTTATCCATCATTATCATCGTCTAGTGGTTAACCTTTTCATCGATATCAACTACTGCGGCTGAGCATTTCCGCGTTTCTGAGAGCGCCATCAATTGGATGAGCACTGGTTACCTCTTCGCTTTTTGTGTCGCCAGCCCGTGAGTTTAGCCCTGGATGCTTATCTCCACCTGTCTTCGGCGCCTGGAAGAGACTGATACTCACACTCATTCTTGCTCTCAGCGTCGTGATCTTCACTCTCAATAAAGGTGGCCCTAAACCCGCCATCATCACCACTTCAACCCTCCTCCTCGTCGGCAATTGGATTCGATATGCAGGGACCAAAGCGAGAGGAGGCATCTTCGGTGTCGCCATGTTTGGTCAGATCCTCATCGGACTGGCGCAGCCATTCTGTCTGAGCGCTCCAACGCGATACAGCGACCTCTGGTTTTCTGACCAGGGCCGGACCAGCGCAACGGCCGTAGCTACCCTTGCCAATCCCTTGGGTGCAGCATTGGGAGAGCTGATCGACTCTTTCTGGGCGACCAAACCAAGCGAAGTCCCGAACATGGTTCTGTACATCTCTATCATCGTAAGCCTCCCTCAGAATCCCTCCACACATAGATAGAACCAAACCCAGTCAGCCATGATATGTCGCACTCACCTACTAACAAACCCAAAAGGCAACGGTAGCAGCACTTCCCTCATTCTTCATTCCCTCCCAACCCCCGACACCTCCAAGCGCTTCATCTGCGAGCACCAACGCCTCCACACCACTCCTCCCAGCTATAACCCAACTCCTCAAAACCCTCGAGTTCTACCTCATCCTGATCCCCTTCTCCATATACGTCGGCTTCTTCAACAGCGTCTCCTCGCTCCTCAACCAAATCCTCGAACCCTACTCATACACCGAAACCGAAGCCGGCATTGCAGGAGGCCTTCTAATCATCGTTGGACTCATCGCCTCAGCCATCATCTCCCCCCTCACAGACCGCTACAAGCACTACCTCGCCACCATCCGCACACTTGTCCCCATCGTAGCAATCACCTATATCGCCCTGATCTTCGCCCCGTCCAGCCCCGCCGGCATCGCACCATCGTATGTCGTGTGCTCCCTCCTCGGCGCGTCGTCCTTCGCCCTCCTCCCCGTCGTTCTGGAGTACCTGGTAGAGATCACGTACCCTTTCTCCCCGGAAATCGGGAGCACGATCTGCTGGACGGGTGGGCAGTTATTAGGCGCGATATTCATTCTAGTTCAGGATGCATTGAAGGCCGGAGAGGACGCTTCCCCGCCGGTCAATATGCAGAATGCGTTGATTTTCTCTGCTGTCGTGGCGGTCGTGGCTGCGCCGTGGCCGCTTTGCATTGGATGTTTTGGTCGTGATGTGAGGAGACGGAGATTGGATGTGGATCGAGGCGTGGAGTTGGGACAGGAGGAGGAGGCTGGTGAGGTGCAGGGTGATGATGCGGAGCGTAGAGCTGGAGCTGGGGAGGATGATACTAAGAAAGGATTCTTGGGGTTGAGTGTGGCGTGGAGGAAGTAATCCTGGAATCCTATAGTCAGTGTGTACAGAATGTACTTTGTGATTGATGATTGCACGTGTGATACCCGGCGTCCATCAAATGTGTCAATACCAGGACCTGTGACTGTAAATAAAAGCTCATATGATGTCAAAGAAAAAAGAAAGATAAAAAACGGAATCCGAACAAAGTCTAGGACAAAATGACATTCATCTAGTAAACAAAAGGAAAAAAAATGAAATAAATAATAAAAGCACAAGTTTCAAACAAGGCAGAGACCAGCTATCTGTACATACACAGTTGAAGGCGACCGCCCCCCTTCTTAAGAACCATTTCCATATTCCATAGCCCATCCATCTTTCATAGGGAGAAGGAAAGTAACAAACACGCATGCATCATCTCATCACCGACTCGCAACCCGTACCCGTATTGTCGAGGGCGGGTAGCGGTCGAGAGAGACAACACTGGATGTATGTATGCTCCTTTCTTTTTTCTTTTTTGATCTTCATCAACGGCAGGCCCGCATAGCCATCATATTGTGAATCAAATCAAGGGGAGGATCGATCGTTAAATGCCTTTCTTTCTTTGTCTTCCTTCGTCGCGGATCCTGTTTTATCAAGTTTGGTCGTGCATTTAGAAAGAAACGTAACCCGTGGAGTGGAGTAAAGAAGATAAGAAAAAAGACGTCTTTTGCTATCTATCGATCGACCGAGAGTGATTTGATTCGTTTATTTGAGGGCCTTCCAGAGCTTGGGGGCGGCGCACTGGGTAGCGCAGTGCGTGAGGTGGAAGACTAAGAAAGATGGTGCGTCAGTTTATGGGTTTTGTTGTTGGGTTCGTCGTGACTGAGATATGATGTCGAAGGAATTGTGGTGTTATGATGTGCTGGTCAACTTACACTCCTCAACGCAGTCCTCCTTGGGGCCCTTGTAGTCGGGGTCCTCCTGCTGCTGGGTTACGCGCTCGACGCACTCATCGAAGTGGTGCTTGTAGGGGGCGCACTGGGAAGAGTTGGCGCACTCTGAGAGAAGCAATTGATTAGTGAATGTTCGAATTGATGAGATTATGTGCAATGGGATGAGTTGTTCCGAGTCAATGGCTCAGAATCGCATGACGTGAGGGTCGGTCAGCGTGCATCCATCTGACCGACTACCCGTCCTGTTGGCACATTGTCCGTCTGGAAACGAACTCCCTCCAGAGGAAAATGCACGGAATAAGTGAAATATGAAAGTGACAGTAAACTTACCCTCCTCAAGCTGGGGCTTGATGTCCTCAGGCTCCTCCTCTTCCTCCTCCTCTTCCTCTTCCTCCTCTTCTTCCTCCTCCTCAGCGGGCTCCTCCTCGGCGGACTCCTCCTCAGCAGGGGTCTCCTCAGCAGACTCCTCGGTGCTCTCCTCGGCGGCAGGGGCGGCCTCCTCCTCGTTGTTCACGGCGGGCTTCTCCTCAGCCTCGGTCTCCTGGCTGGGGGTGGTGGTGGTGGTCTCCTCGGCGGGAGCCTCAGCCTGAGCCTCGGGGAAGCCGAAGGAGGACATAACGTCGGAGAAGAAGTCGGAGAGACCCATCTTGTCTTTGAAATTGGTTTCAATTGAGGGAAGAGGGCGAGAAGGGGGGGCGTGTGGGCGGTGGATGTCGCGGTAATTGAGGATGGGGTTGGTTTTAACGAACTCGAAGCTTTGGCGTTGCTGGTTTCTGCCGGCCCTGGAAAATCGGAACACCCCGGCCGCCGGGCGATGGTCGCAATTATCGTACACGTGATTGGCCGCTCGGGTCGGCCGTGACTAATGCGGTAATATTTCGTTTTCTTACTTATCAAATTAATTAATTAGTTGGTTAATGTTCGTGCCGTTCCGTTGTTGTTGTTGTTACTTTAACTACTGGGTCTACTATTTATGATGCACTGTATTTCAACAATATAATTCCAAGTAGTATACAGAAAAAAAGATTAAGAGGCCGCTTGGGCTTGAGGCTACCGCCGGAATATGTGTGTAGGAAATTGGAGACTATCTAGTCATGGAAGAAAGCATTGGATACGGCACCCGTCCTGGCTTCAACTGGCTCGACGCAGTCTCTCCTCGAGCGCTTCCGCCACACTCTGCTGCTGCACCTCTTCATAATCCGGTGGTGGCTCCATCGGCTCCGATCCCGCTTCTGGCCCTGTGTTTTGAGACTGTGGGCTTACAGATTGCTGTGCGGTACTGTGGTCTGCTCCGGTTGTGCCACCCGATGGGCCGGTGTACGCAGGTAGCTCGTCGAGGTGGATTGCAGACATGTCAACATTTCGGGCACCTCGACTGCTCGCCTGCGTATTCTCGACAGCCTGTTGTAGACGCTCTTTGATTCTTTCGAAATTGTTGTGGAAATCAAACGCCCCTCCCTCTTTGAATGTCACCTTGAGCTGCACGGCAGGCAACGACGCAGGGATGCCTCCTCCAGATACCGGCTGGACTAGCGCCAACCATGCATTGGGCCCAAAGAATGGTGCAGTGACATGGGCGTCATGGACATTGAGTAATGGTGCGGAAAACGATTGAAACTCTTTCGTTTGTTGCGCGGGAATGTAAACGATCTGACACGAATATGTTAACGAGAGCTGTCAGATGATAGGGTCCAAAAGCAAGACAGTACCCTCTGATTTGTCAGGTAGACTCGACCGGCACTGCTTTGCATGGAAAAAGAGTCCTTGCTGGCGCTAGAGCCTAGGGGTTGCAGAGACAGAGTTGTCCGCGGAGGAGAGGCGAACAACTGATGCTCATTGGGTAGTCGAACAAAGCCTTCGGGGCCTTGCAGCATCACCCAGCTGTTGTATTGGGTAAATTAGCATAGTTTCTCCGGCCTGCTATCCCCATTCTGGGTTGAAACAAGTATACAACGCAGGTTTCTGACTGAGAAGTGTGCATGCTAGGGTGTCATGGGATGATGCAAGAGAGACAAGGGAGAAGAAAGTTGATTCATCTGGTACAGCGCAGCAGAAATAACAAATCAGAGGTGATAAGTCGATGAAGAAAAACCATCGATACTGAGTGCATGCAGAACGATAATAAGAGTAGCTCAACCGGGCATGGTGGGGAACATCTACATACTTGATCGACATTTTGTCAAAGCCACGACCGAGAACGTGGTCTGTGTGGCTGAGTGCAGACTGTGCCGGGATGCAGGCTAAGTACTGTGGGATTCAGATAGTATATCGTTCGAGGATGAGTTACTGAAAGGATGGATTCAGAGTGCAGAATGAAGAGAGGGCAGCATTGGCTGAAACAATCCAACCAATGAGTAGCACCAGGGTCCAGTTTCAGGTGAGACGATCCAGGGATGATTGGCGGGACGGAAATGATGAGAATACTCCAAGGGTTGGTGAATGGTTTTCCGATCGCTGATAGAGCGATCCCAGACAAAAGAATGTCAGATGTGGTATTCCAGATTCCACTTCGTTGATGGCGAAGCACCCGAAAGTGGCACGGATGTGAAGTGAGGCGATAACAGCAGTAGTAGCTGCAGCGGACCACTTTTGTATAACGGCAGAAAAGTTGAGTGATATCTTTTCTTCTATTTGTGTGGTAATGATATTCGATGGAACAACAGACCTCCTAGAGGTTTTTCAACGATGCCTAGGAATTTCTGAAGGAAAGCGAGCCAGTGAAGCCCGAAGGCGGGAGACGAAGCAGTCCGCGGGGCGGCCGTCAGGCGGGGAAGCTTTTCCAACTCTCCAACTCCTTACACTCAAGGTGTCTCGGTTCGAGCGGCTGGCCAGTTCGGACTTCTCTTCAACATATCGGACATAAAGGAGGAGCCTTCATATGGGCGCCGAATCTATCCAGAGAGGTTTGGGAACGCAGAAGGATTCGAACATCCAAATTGCAATCCTTATTAGGCCAAATTCGGCTTCCTTCTTTCCGGCCTTATCTTATTCTTTACCATGGATGGACTAACTAGGGACTACTGCGTCCACTACTCGCATACTTCCTGTGCCCCCCTCGCCCGGAAACCCAATCATTCCCGCATGCGATATAGTGCCTGGATTACAATTGGATGAATGGCAGAGTGGATGTCAGTCTAGAAATTAGTAACTACCCAACAGGATGATTAAGCTAACACAGAGTTCATATTTGTGGATGGAAGCCTGCATACTCTACCCTGGTGTCAACGTCCACGGACCTCAAAAGTCGATAATTTGCAGCAATTATATCAATACGCACATGCAGGATTCAGGGATATGGACATGTATCACTGAATCAAAGCAGTATTAGCGATTTCGTTTGCTAGGTAGATCACACGGACCTCTCGTGTCTCCAGAGGCGGAAGACTAATCGGTGGTTGGACGCATGGACACTATCGGCACGGTCAGATATAGTCATTTGAATAGCTAGCTAGCCAAATCTTCGGAGATATTGTTCCTTGGATTAAGCAACTTAACAGTTCTGCACCAACTCCTTGTGTGTCACTAGAGATAGACCTACGATCCCGGGGTTTCGAATAAGCTACGCACTTCTCAGCAACAACTATTCGCAAACAATCCTATCAAGCAACATGGAATGACTCGATATTTTGTGGAAACCCCTACCAAGTTCAACCATATTGAAAGAGCTTGACTAACTCCTTGCATCAAAATGGTAACAGTCAAAAGACGAGGATGGGTGGCGCTACTGTATGAAGCTAATCTGGACCCAAAGAGCTAGTTGTCCTCGAACAGAGGGTGATAAGGACGAAAGCCACCCATGCCTGCTGCCAGAATTATTTCGATTCAGCTAAAACCATTGAAATACACTTCTCTCGTGATATCTGCCATATCTGCCAGCGTGGCTGTCATGCAAATTCACGAAGCGATGGCAGGTGTTCGGTTTGGTCGAACCTTGTCAGCTGACAAGAAAAAGTGGCTGCATGTGGCCCAAGGGTATTTTTATCTCGCGTGTCGCTGTGCAATTTCAACATCATCTTTCTATTAAAGCTTCTCCGATGGCATTCTCTTCCTGACTGTTCGGGGAGGTCAGGATTGCCGGTGAGGCAGCAATAGGCATCCTCAGGCATGGCCGGGCCAGGCTGGGGAGCCTTGAAGGCCGCGGTTACGTTGAGAGCTGTTATTGGGTCTTTACACGTGGAGAAAACCGTCCGATCAAAGTCACGGCCGACCCACCCCGTCTTCCATCCAGGTTACGTTTCCCCCTTCTGCGCTATTTCCTTTGCCTCTTCGCTCGTTGTCACCGCTTTCTGCGACTTCAATTCCCTCGTGGTTCTTTTTGTGGTATTCTGTCACTCCTTGAGGGTCCGCCGAACCGACGATCCCCGTTACCCCCCGGGAGACGATCGAACGCGAACAAAAAAAGAACAGTGTAGCCTGATGAGCACGGCCCTACCGGGCACATCCCAAAGCTTACATTACCCTTACTACACCTCTGGTGGCCGTCATCTCTTTCATATTTGCTCTCCAGTTTAATAGGGTGCGGCTGCTTGGGTCCACTTGTCAGGATATCGAAATACTGCCTGGTGCATCGCCCCTGCACTACACGGACGCCCCCCGTCTTGCATCGTGAAACCTCCTCCGCTTCTCTCGCAGCCTTCCACAAACCAGCCCTTTTCGACTCAGAAAATCTTGTCATACTCTGAAATATACGCATAATAATTCAAGATGTCGACATCGATACACTTGTCGAGGTTCCGGAAATGGCTCCTTGCTTCGCCGCCAATCGAGTTTGCCATTGGGCAACTTCGGGACCTCTTGGTTGGAGCAATCCGACAGGGTCCAGTTCCACAACATATTGCTTTCGTCATGGATGGTAACCGGAGGTTTGCCCGAACGCACGGGATCGAAACGGTGGAAGGACACAACATGGGGTTTGAGGCTTTGGCAAGGGTGAGTCCGATGGAGTTCGGCTCATAGAGAACTTCTGTCTTCCGCCAGTGTCAGCTGATAACTTATACCGTGGCTTAGATTCTCGAAGTCTGTTACAAGAGCGGCGTTAAAGTAGTTACAATTTACGCCTTCAGCATCGAAAACTTCAAACGCTCCAAATTCGAGGTGGATGCACTGATGGAGATGGCCAGGGTGAAGCTGTCGCAGATGGCTCAGCATGGCGAGATCCTCGATCGCTATGGGGCCAAGGTGCGGATATTGGGTCGGCTGGACTTGCTCAGGCCTGATGTTCTCGCTGCAGTGAACCGGGCCGTGGAAATGACCAGCAACAATGGTGACTGCGTATTGAACATCTGTTTCCCGTATACGTCGCGCGATGAGATCACCACGGCTGTCCGAGATACCGTGGCCGAGTACAGCCAGCCCCTTCCGTCGACTCGTCCGTCGTCCATTTCCTCAAGGACTCCCTTTTCCGAATCCCACATTACACAAAACATTCGAGCACAGACGCAGGTTTCGAAAGGGGAAGAGGAACCGAGTGACTCGGAAGCGGCATCAGAGTCATCAGGAGACGGCGAAACGACGAAGCACAAGACACCGAACGGAGTCTATGAAAACGGATCTTCGTTTTCTTCCTCGTCGACTCTCCACCTCGCCGGGCAACAAGATGCTGCCAATGGGAAAGTACCAGCAGCAGAACCCGCCGTCGGGAAGGAGAGCCTCGTCTTTATGTCCCCCGAGACGATTACGCGCCAGACATTGTCAGAGCATTTATTCACCCATGACAATCCTCCTCTAGATCTGCTGGTCCGGACGTCTGGAGTTGAGCGCCTTAGTGACTTCATGCTGTGGCAATGCCACGAGGATACGGAGATTGTCTTCCTCGACGTCCTATGGCCGGAATTTGACCTTTGGCAGTTCCTGCCCGTGATGCTGAGATGGCAGCGTCGAATCTCCAAGTCAAAGAAGAACCCGGATGCGGAGGGCAACTTTGACGGCGATACGTCTGACTCTGCGGAGGAAAGTAATGGCAAGGTCAAAGACCTGTAAATTGTTATGTTCACTTTTTATCTTTTCTCTGTTGTTGTATACATGGACTGGGTTACCGTCCTGGCATCGATCATTGGGAGTTTTGGAGTCATCCTTGGGAGCATTGACAAATATTCCCCCCATCCTGTCATCCATCTAGAATTTATAGCACTCACTGAGCTGAAAGCTGAAAGAAAAGGGTTCCATGATGAGCATATAGATGCAGACATAGCACCTAATTTATAGTTACTATATACTACACCGGACAGCATCTCCACCTCGGGGAATCACGGATCATGTAAAATAATCAGATAAAATAGAGTGTCCGCTATCGCAGCCTCCGATACCGCATCCGACCAAGTGGGCAGCCCCACGTGACTCACACTGGCGGGGGAATCGAAGCAACCACTCGCAACACTGACTCAACTTTATTTCCTCTCCTGATATTGTTTTCTTTCCTATTTTCCCAATCTAATACCCTGATATCTTCCCAATTGTCATCATGCCTGTCGCCGGTTCCAAGGTTCTCCTGTTGGGCTCGGGCTTCGGTATGCCTCCCATCTCTCTTCCACTCTCCCCCGCCGATTCGGACCCCGCATTGGGGGTCATTAATGGACTCCATCCCACTGACTCAATGTCTCGATAGTCACGAAGCCCACCGTTGAGGTTCTCAGCAAGGCTGACGTTAACGTCACTGTTGGTACGTACAGCTCAATTGATAGAGTCCTCCCTATCCAGTAGCATCCAACATAGCTGACCATCGTCTACTATACCCCAATAGCCTGCAGAACCCTCGAGAGTGCTCAGAAGCTCTGCGAAGGCTTCAAGAACACCAAGGCCATCTCCCTCGATGTCACCGACGATGCTGCTCTCGACAAGGCTCTGGAGCAGGTTGACCTCGCCATCTCCCTGATCCCCTACACCTTCCACGCCAATGTCATCAAGTCCGCCATCCGCACCAAGAAGCACGTCGTCACCACCTCCTACGTCTCCCCCGCCATGATGGAGCTGGATGAGGAGTGCAAGAAGGCCGGCATCACCGTCATGAACGAGATCGGTCTGGACCCTGTATGTCTACTTATCCACATCATCCCCATATCATACTATACAGTGAGCTAACCAACCCTGCCAAACAGGGTATTGACCACCTCTACGCTGTCAAGACCATCTCTGAGGTACGTCCAGAATCGCCCACCCTACCACCACCACCACCCAAACCATCCCTAACCCACCCCCTTAGGTCCACGCCGAAGGTGGCAAGATCACCTCTTTCCTCAGCTACTGCGGTGGCCTCCGTAAGTTCATCCACATCCTCAACCCCACAATACAACCCACACAACCCTAACCTTCCCAACCAGCCGCCCCCGAATGCTCCAACAACCCCCTGGGCTACAAGTTCAGCTGGTCCAGCCGCGGTGTCCTCCTTGCCCTTCGCAACGCCGCCAAGTTCTACAAGGACGGCCAAGAATTCAGCGTCGCCGGTCCCGACCTGATGGCCACCGCTAAGCCCTACTTCATCTACCCCGGCTTCGCCTTCGTCGCCTACCCCAACCGCGACTCCTGCCCCTACCGGGAGCGCTACAGCATCCCCGAAGCCCAGACCGTCGTCCGCGGCACCCTCCGCTACCAGGGCTTCCCCGAGATGATCAAGGTTCTGGTTGACATCGGCTTCTTGTCCGACGAGGGCCGCGAGTACCTCAACAGCCCCATTGCCTGGAAGGAGGCCACGAAGCAGATCCTCGGCGCCACCTCCTCCGCCGAGAAGGACCTCGAGTGGGCCATTGCCTCCAAGACGGCCTTCGCTAACAACGATGACCGCGACCGCATCATCTCCGGTCTTCGCTGGATCGGCCTCTTCAGTGATGAGCAGATCACTCCCCGTGGTAACCCGCTCGATACTCTCTGCGCTACCCTCGAGAAGAAGATGCAGTATGAGGAGGGTGAGCGTGATCTTGTCATGTTGCAGCACAAGTTCGAGATTGAGCACAAGGATGGTCAGAAGGAGACTCGTACTTCCACTCTTTGCGAGTATGGTGTGCCCGGTGGGTACTCGGCTATGGCTAAGACTGTTGGTGTGCCTTGTGGTGTCGCTGTTAAGTTGGTCTTGGATGGTACTATTAACCAGAAGGTATGGTGGTTCTTTCCTTGTATATCTGGCGTTGGTTGAGTGGGTTGTTGGATGAATTGCTAACTGTTGTTGCTATCATAGGGTGTTGTTGCTCCCATGACCATGGACATTTGCGCTCCTCTGATCAAGACCCTCAAGGAGGACTACGGCATTGAGATGATCGAGAAGACTCTGTAAAGAGTATCTCTTCTCTTATAAATTCTCTTCTATGATGATATATTAACGACTTTGGAGATGGGTGTTAGAGAAAACAAAATAGGGTAGATCAAAAATTCAGATCGGTTTTGATGAAGCAGTATTTCTTGCAAGAAAGAACAGTAGAGGTGTTTTGTATATGTAAAAAGTTACCAGAAGTGTAGAAGTGCAAAGTTCAATGTCTTCTTCCTATCGTGATTTGTCTCATCTACTAATATGTTCATGGTCTGTCTATCGTGCATTCGTTGGACACATACCCCCCATTTGCTTGGAGGGGAGGAGTTTTATATCAGGTCAGGTGAGGTAAGGATGAGTCGGCGCAAGATTGCCTGTCCCAGAAACACAGTTTGTCAAGAATCCAAAAAGAGTTCGCTACCCCCGTCTTCTACAGGACGCGTGGATGTAGACAGGATCCGTTGTCGCCCTCATACCCCCCCAAGTGCTGAATTTAGATCATGATGTGGTCATGGTTTCGCGGATGCGCTCAGAGAATAGTGCCAAACCTATACCGAGAAGAAGAAAAACAACCATCAGCAACTGTCTCCAAGAAAAGGAAGATCTGGCAAGCCATTGTGAGGAAGCAATTGGCTAATAGGCAAAGCAAGGGGATTAGAACATACCCGAAAGTCTGCTTGATGCTGCGGACGTAGTAGACATCCCAGTTTTGCTTGGTGACATCCTCTTGACCAACAGGGACGCCAGTCCAGGTCACGCGCATCTGAGTGACGCCGTCGACATCGTTCTGGTCGAACTTGATCTCCAGCGTACTGAAGTGACCCGCGGGCCACTGGGCAAGACGCCACTTCTGCTCAATCAGGGTGGGGGCCTGGAGCTTGGTGTACTCGCCGGTAACATTTCCGTCGAAGATGGCGAACTTTCCGCCCACCTGAGCGCCCTCAAACTGGCGAGGGGGGCCGCGAGTGAAAGCAGCAATGCGCTGGGGGTCGGTGAAGGTGTTGTACAGCTCCTCAGCCGTGGTGCGGAACTCGTCCGAAGCGGTCACGGTAGTAGTGTTGACCGAAACCTTCTCAGCGGTGGTAGTGGTGGTGGTAGTAGGGGCAGAGGATTCCTTCTTGGAAGTCTGAGGGTGGTATTTGGGAGCAGCGAATCCGCTGGAAGGGTTGACACCAGGAGCGTGTTGGAGGTCCTTGCCGTGCTCAGCAATGAGGGCGGGACCAAACTTGCCCAAAGCCTGTCTGAGTTGAGGAACGAGCTTGGAGCGAACCAGGTCCTTCACGGCCTGCTTGGAAGGAGAATCCGAGTAGTTTTCAATCTCAAACTAAAGAGCCATGGGGTCAATTGGCCGGACAGCTATGGGAATACGAGG